TTCCTCCCTCCCTCCCTCCCTCCCTCCTTCCCTCCCTTCCTTCCTCCCTTCCTCCCTTCCTCCCTTCCTCCCTTTCTCCCTTTCTCCCTTCCCATGTCAGCTACATCGGGGACTGTGAGATCAGTGTGGAGCTGCAGAAGATACATGCCGGTGTGAAAGGCATCCAGGTGGGTAAAACCCCTGGGGTGGGGTCAGGGAAGGGGGAAGCCAGCTTTCATTGGAGCAGACAGCAAAGGTGGTGATGACACTGAAAACAGAGGCTGATGACAGTATAAGAACTTCAGGCCTGTGGCCAGGAGGTGGTGCTGGGCGTCATCAACCCCTTCTCTGCCTCAGGGCCTTATCTGTCTCTGTTCGAAAAGTCCCCAAGACTGGCTGCTGGGGGAGGTGAGGCTGTTCCTAGAGTGCTGGGGAGTCCTTGTGTAGAAACTGAGGTGGATCCAAAGGTGGAAATGAGCTGTGTTGGGCTGGAAATCTCTTCTGGGTCCCTGATGTCTGGGCCAGGCAGCTCATGGCCTTTGTGGCTGGAAGAGGGGTCCCAGCTCTGTGCAAGGCCCTGTGCACTGAGTTCCCTCCCTGTGGTGACAGCAGGTGGACTGGGGTGGTGGCCCTGACAGTCAGGGAGGGTGTGGGATGAAATGAGGCAGAAATGACCTTTGCTGAGCACAGCAGACACTGAAAGAAAAGTCTGGGTTCCTCACGCATTCTTGTACCTGTCCAGTTGCAGGGCACCTTGAGGATCATCCTGGAGCCCTTGTTGGTGGACAAGCCCTTTGTGGGGGCTGTGACTGTATTCTTCCTTCAAAAGCCAGTGAGTAGAGGGCTGGGGGCAGGCCCGCTGCTCCCTGTGAGCAGGCACTTTCCACTGGGTCTCGTACACCATGATTGACCCCAAGAACAGACTGCCTCAGCCCGTAGAGGCCTCTCCACCTCATTTCATCCTCAGGCCAGCTCGAGAAGTTAAGACTCAGTTCTCCCCACGAAGAGGAAGCCAAGTTCAGAGGGACTCATGAGTGGGCTGAAGTGTTGCTGAGAAAAACTCAGAGCTTGTTAAAGTCTAGGCCAGCCTGTGGCCTTCTGGGCTGGCCCCCTCCTGTCATGGTCCTGGCAGGAAGCAGCGGGCCCTTGACACCAGGCCCCATCCTGAGTTAAGGCCTGGGTGCTTCACAGCCTAGAGGCCCGAGAGCCAGGCTGGGAGGTATCCTTGGCTACCTGATATTCTGTAAGGGTGCCCCCCAGGCAGGGTTCTCTGTTTAGGTGGTGGCAGGCATCTTGGGCCTGGGCTCCCAGCTCTTTGCAGCCTCATGTCCTCCCTCTCCCCTGATAGCACCTGCAGATCAACTGGACAGGTCTGACCAACCTGCTGGATGCACCCGGAATCAAGTAAGTGCTAGGACTTCTAGGATTCAAGTGTGGGGCCCTCAGGGCCCTGCTGTCAGTGCCAAGAGCTGCTCTGAGCACAAGGAAGAGAGCAGGAGGTACAGGCACAAAATCTTCTAACAGAGAGAAAATCCTTCATGTATTTGGAGTGTGGGCTGGAGTGGGAGGCTAACAGGGTTGTGCAGCCTCTTGGCCCAGTGCCTGTCCAGTTGATTTGCAGAAGGACCACAGTGGCCAACTCCTAGGGAACATTCCTGTGGATGAGGCACTGTTCTCACCTCCTCCTAGTGTAATGGTGCCAGGAGGCAGGCACTGTTATCTTCAAGTCTGAGGAGAAAAAAAGAGGCCCGAAGAGGGGACTGACTTGCCCAAGGCTGCACAGCTAGCAGGGGTGGAGTTGAGATATGTTAACCCAGGCTCTAGCATCGGTGCTTGGCCACCATGCTCTGCTGCCTCAAAGCAACAGACTGGGGTAGAGGGGTTCAGGGAGTGTAGGTGAGGGCACTGCTGCTTGGGACAGAATGTCAGGGCCTGTCAATTAGTATACCCACCTCCCACCCCATCCCGGCTGGGAGGAGTGAGGATTACCTCTGGTGGAAACCCTGCGCCGAGGGTGGATGGGGGCAGAGGGCATGGGGGAAGTAGCATCACCCCTTCACAGCTGGTCATGCTTGGTGTCCCAGCGAGGTGTCAGATAGCCTGCTGGAGGACCTCATCGCTGCCCACCTGGTGCTGCCCAATCGCGTGACTGTGCCTGTGAAGAAGGGTCTGGATGTGACCAACCTGCGCTTCCCTCTGCCCTGCGTGAGTACCCAGTGCCTGCTGCAGAGCACTGGGCGCAGTGTGGAGGGATGGCTGGGAGGGTGGGGGAGGCATCCTGAAATGCATTCAATGGTAATCCTTAGTCCTGACCTGTGAAGGATGGCATCCCCCTTTCACCACATGGAGATAGGCTGGGAGGTTGAATGACTTGCCTAAAGCCACCATCTAGGGAGGGGCCAGGCCCAAACACATTCTTTCTAGTGCTCCTGGTTCCCCCATGATGCTTGTGTTGGGGACGGTGGGCAGTCACGCCCAGCTAACACAAGGTGCCCCCTTCCTCTCTTCAGGAAGGTCCTCTTACCTCTGTCTGGTAGCTGCAAGCACCTTGGGATCTATTGAGGATTCTTGGTTAAACTCAGACTGGTACATTGTGGGTGCCAAGTTCCATTGTTCCCCTGCCCTGGGGCCAGCTCAGGAGGCCCACAGGGACAGCCCAAGGGACTGGGAGTCAGGGCCCCAGGAGAGAGGAGGGTGTCCATTTTTGCCTTTAGCACCAGGTGTGAGGCATCGTCTTCTGCTCACACTCAGCCTGATGCATGCTCCTGCACAGAGCCAGGGCCCTCGAGGACAGGCTGGCAGTGGAGGCAGCACATATGTCCTCTCTGCCTTGCCATGATAGTGCATCGGCTTTAACCCACACTGCACGCACAACAGTCCCAGAATAACAATACAAACACCATCACCCATGCCATAATTACCAAAAACATTCTGTCCGGGTGTGTCCCACGTGGGATGTACTGTCAACTTACTGCATTTTAAACCCACTTGGCATAGTTGCTGTGTGTTTGTGACAAGTGGCCACAAATGTTGACATTAATTTGTTTCGTTCTATTTTTAGGGCTTAGTTTTTACCTTGATTTCCTTTTATAATTATGTAAAATAAGTCTATTTTACATAATTACATAAATATAAAAACCAAATTATATTTTAAGGAGCTTGACACTTATTTTTTGGTACCGGGGATCAAACTCAGGATCTTGTGCTTGCCAGGCAGGCACAGGCGCCACTGAGCTAAACCCCTGTCCCCAGACCTCTTGTTTCTCCTACCCAATCCCCACCTTTCTCCTATAATGGTTTATCCTTCCATTATTTTTCATTCTTTTTAATAAGAATAGACACATGTATGTGGGTCATAGGTACACATATCTGTTTATATTCACAGTCCCCATTTCTTTGCTAGATGGTAGAATGCTACAGTCAGCACCCCCCCCCCCATGGGAGTGGACAGATGCCAATTCACCCAGGTCCCTATCAATGGGCAGTTAGTTGTGTCTGGTCTTTTGCTATTACAGTGTCACTATTAGCCTGTGCATATGTCTTTTTGTATTTTTTCCAGTTTGCCTTTGGGATATATTTTCACAAGTGGTTTTGTGGGTCAAAAGAAAAATGCACGTATATTTACTGGTATTTAAAAAAACTGGTGGACCAGGGATTTAGCTCAGCAGCACCACACCTGCCTGGCAAATGCAAGGTCCTGAGTTCGATCCCTGGTACCAAAAATACAACAACAAACAAACAAAAAGCTGGTAACCCCCCTGAGCTGTTATTGTCCTAATCCTTATATGCTATTCTTTATTAACAGAGTTACAGTTTTTCATTTCTTTAACAACCACCTATGTGAATGAGGGCAGGGTAGCACAGGACAAGGTGTGGTGGGGTGACACTTGGTGCCAGCAGCAGGCAGTGCCCACAAGATGGTACACCAGGTATGGAGCAGAGGTGATGCTAGGACTCAGTCTACCTTCAGGTTACTCAGGCATCTCCTCGTGTGACATGGCTGTTGGCACAGGAGGGGCAAACAGCAGCAGGTGAATACAGTGATCCTTCGGTTCATGAATGATTTTATTTGCAAACAGTTTGGTTTTCAAACAGAACCATTTAGGAAAATTTTGGTTTTGTTTGCAAACTCTGCATCAGCTGACAAACATGACTGCAGCCATCTTTCCTACACAAACACGGCCATCTTTTCCAAAATCATAGAACAAATTACACTCGTGAACCAAGGTACCACTGTAAGCCAATCAGATGGCAGTATGGAGGAGGGCATGCTGGGTGGCCAGGGGCTGGGCCAGAGCACTCTGATGTGGTGGAGAGAGCCCTCGTCCCTGAGGGCTGGCCAGGGAGCAGCTGTGAGCCCTGGGCTGGGGCATTTTCCAGGGGGTGATCAGAATCCACTTGCTGGAAGCCGAGAAGCTGGCCCAGAAGGACAACTTTCTGGGACTGGGATGCAAGTCAGACCCCTATGCCAAGGTGAGCATCGGCTTGCAGCATTTCCGGAGCAGGACCATCTACAAGAATCTGAACCCCACCTGGAATGAGGTATTTGAGGTGAGAATCTCCTTGGCCTCTCCAGGTGCCTCCAGGCTTCACTCAGGGTCTCACTGGGCAGTCAAGAGAAACATGGGTCCACAGAGAATCGCTGGCCATGGGAGGGAGCCCTGGGGACAGGCAGGCAGGTCCATGCGGTTCCTACTTCCCTATCACCAGGCTTCAGAGCTGGGCCACCCTGCCCCTCCCCCACACCCCTATTTGCAGCTTTCGAGTCCATACCTTCTTTCCCCATGAGTCAGCTCTGTTGGAAGTTTTCAGATCAAAGGAAAACAGAATCCCTCAGGCAGTTCTGCCTTATCCCTCTCAGCCTCAAACACCAGGACCTGGATGCTCTTATGTTCAGCCATGGTCCTTCCTACTTGAAGGACAAAACCCAGAAGACCCCGCTCAGTTTCATGTTCAGGGCCACCTCCTAGGTGCTATCTCCCACCCTCCCCTCCCAACATGCCACCCACATGTTCTGTTGTGTCTGAGCTGAGGCAGTGAATGGAGGGTGATAAAGGCAGCTTAGTTTCCTGGTGTCCCATGCTGTGGGGCCAGGGGAATGTGATGGGCAAGTGCACTGGAAGATTTAAGCCTGATACAGAGCGGGCAACAGCCACTGTCCCCTGGACACACCCTGCCATGGTGGCACTTGTTGCCTCTAATCTTCCCTGGCAGCCTGCAGGGGTGAGGAACTGCTCCCTTCTTACAGGTGGTGCTCCAGGGGACTGAGACAATCAGAAACTTGCCAGGGTACCAATCTGGCATTTGGCTCCCTCGGGGTCATAGGTCTGATCCATCAGCTGTGACCTGCACATCAAGACATTTGTCTCTCTTTCCAGTTCATGGTGTATGAAGTCCCTGGTCAGGACTTGGAGGTGGACCTGTATGATGAGGATACTGACAAGGATGACTTCCTGGGCAGGTGAGGAGGGGTGGGGCTGGGCTGGGGACTCTGGGCTAGGCCATGGGGCACAGGAACCCTGCTCCCACTGCTGTCCCACTCAGACATGGTGACCGTGGCACCATGACTGTCCCATCGTTCCACAGTCCTGCCGCAAGCCTTCCCAGATGTCTCAAGTCTCCAGCCCTGACATTGGCTCTTGGGGGTACAGAGAGGACCTGAGGTCTGTGCTTTGCTTTTTCCCCAGAGTACTCTTGGAGCAGTGAGGGAGGCCAGTGTGGATGGCCAAGTGCCCAATCCCAAGGAACCCTGGTCCTCAAGGATGTGAAAGGATTGCAGTGGCTGGAGTGGGACTGGAAACATAACCTCAAATTTACATATCTAAAAACAGTCCACTTTCAGGATTCTATAATACAACAGCATGAGCACTTCAAATGCTTACTGTAGTATCTGTGGTAGCAAAACAAACCCCCTCCTCACTCCAGAGACATGAATGGCCAGCTGCAGAGGGCCCTGGCTGAATGTTTGAATACCTTTGCCATTGCCAAATGACAGAAAATTCTGCAGCTTTCAAAACTAGTAGAATCTATGTATTGATGGGAGGCCATCTGGGATGTGTTAGTAAGTGGGGAGCACTGTGTAGTTGGACTCATCTTTCCAGGAGAGGCCCCCAAGTGTGCATTTTCACCTGTGTCTATGAGCAGAAAGAGCATGGCAGCTACACACCAGGCTGTTAGCACCCTCACCTCAGGGCAGGATGTGCTAGATCTACACCCCCTGTACTGTTGCACTCGGTTTTGTGCATATGTAATTATAAAAAGTAGAAACACAAATGGGAGAGAGACAACCTAACAGTTGAAGAAACAGTTCCCTACCAGGTGTTGCTTATCACTTTTATCTTCATCTTAGTGAAAAGTTGCAATTTTTGGAGTGTTGCAGATTATTAGTTTGGTTTGTGGTCCATACCTTGACTTCTGGTGCTTTGAGCTCAAGCACATGGACATTCTCCCTCTGGCTGTCAGGACCTCCTGGTGGGCTGCAGCTCAGGGTGGTCCTAGGGATGCTGTGATTTGGGAGTGACCGCCTCACGTACATGCCATCTGTACTTAGCGCTTCAAATCAGAGGGGGCATTTTAGCTGTTAAAATGACTGCTGGAGGTGGTGCCACTGGCATTCAGAGGGCATAGGACCGGGAAGCTAAATTCCTGAAGTGCATGAACAGTTCTGCACAGTGAAGAATCATCCCACTCAAAATACTGCAGCACTGCTGCTGAGAAATCTAGAAGCATGTGTATAGCACCCTCTGCTTGTCCTGCCTGGGCCTGTTAGCCATCTGTCTCCTGAGGAGCACATGCCCAGTGGAGTAGCCTTGATGGTTATTAGCTAATTCTTCACCTGAGCTACAATTGGTCTTCCATTGGTTTCTTGGGATGCGGAAGATCCAGTCTTAATGGCCCACTCAGATACCTGAAAATAGATTCCAGGGTGGGTCTGCAGGCCCTCTGTGGATTATTGCCTCTGATTTGTGCTGACTCCCTCTCCCTGTGTCTTCCAGCCTGCAGATCTGCCTCGGGGATGTCATGACGAATAGAGTGGTGGATGAGGTAGAGCTGGTGCCCACACCCCTACCCGTGAGGGTTCTCGGTGTAGCCCCCTTCCTGTGGACAACTCTAGCAGGGTGCTTCAGCCCATCTAGTCCTATTAAATGGGCCCCCTTCTTTGCTGGGCTACACACATGCCCATCTTCGGGGGACAAGAGCTGAGTGAGGCACAGATGGCTCCAGGGATTCGCCCCCACACCAGAGCATAGGTTGGAAGAAGCCCATAGAGTAAGGATGCCCAGTCACATCACAGGGGAGGCCAGGCTGGACCTGAGTTTTACACCCCAAAATGTAGTACTCCTGCCCTCCTGCAGCCACCTCTGCCAGTCCTGCTGAGTCCAGGCTGCAACCTGTCTGGGTTGGCTCACATTTTCCCTGGAGTCCCTGTTAAGGCCCACCAGGTCCCAGAACTGAGTGGCCCAAAAGGCTTGGTAGCATCTCCCTCTGTGTCCTTGAGCTTTTTCTCTCCTGTCTTCATCCCAGTGGTTTGTCCTGAATGACACAACCAGCGGACGGCTGCACCTGCGGCTGGAGTGGCTTTCACTGATCACTGATCAGGAGGCACTGACAGAAGTGAGTATCAAGGGCTCCCTCGCAGAAAAGGGGGAGCATTGCAGGGTGTGTGCAGGTGGAAGAAGGGAAAGAGACAAAGGCCTCTACTTCTTGCTCATCCCCTAGAGAATGTCACTCGGCCCCCTTTCTTCACACAAGGCAGCCCCTGAACTATCTCAGCAATAGCCTCTGGGCATCTCAGGCATCTTCAGGAAGGATGAGGTCCTTAGAGTTCTTGTGTCTGTTCCTGTCATCCCAGTTCACAAGGGAGTTTTCCCCTTGTGTCTAACTTGAATCTGTCGTGCTGTAGTTATTTATTTTCTTAGCTGGAACACAAGTAGAGGTAGTGACAGAGTTATGGCTAGTCTGGTCTGTGAGGGCTGGCTTCCTTCTGCCATGAGTAGTTGTCTCTAAAGCCAATCTTTCTCCTGCTGCTGGGGACACTCAGTGAGAGCCCGTGTCTCTTTTCAGGACCATGGTAACCTTTCTACTGCCATCCTTGTGGTCTTCTTGGAGAATGCCTGCAACCTACCGGTGAGTGGTGACATGTTCAGAGTGTCACACACACCCTCCCTAGTACATATCATTTTCAAATTTCCAAGGTGTTGCTTTAATCCTTCTTATGCTGCAGAGAAATCCATTTGACTACTTGAATGGTGAATATCGAGCCAAAAAATTCTCCAGGTTTGCCAAGGTAAGTGTGACTGGTCCAAAAACTCAGAGGGAAAATCACTCTTTTCCCCCAAAGTAACATGGAATAATAACATGGGATAATAGGAGGTTTGGTGCCCTTCATTGTGTCTCCTGTGTGCCAAGCACTGGGCTTGGCAACTCTTCCCCATTCATTATCCTGGTGACTACAGTCAGTTTTTATTGCCAAATTATAAACTCAGATTACCCAGAAGATTAAGTGCCTGGGTCAAGGAGCTGGAACTTGACTCTACCCAGTTTGTTTCCATAGCCTCAGGGGAAGACAGCCTGCTCCCAGCCCAGCCAAGCTCTGGCTTAGGCCTCTGGTCTCTAACTTGGAACCTCTCCCTGGAGTCAGCCTTGTCCCGGTGGCTTGTGTAATTGTGGCCTAGGGGCCTGGGAGCTCAGGCAGCCTACTCTAAGAGAAGCAATTGCTCACCCCAGGTGCCACTGATGCTTGGGTGGGGTTGGGGGAGGCATGGAGATAGGAACTCTAGCAGACCCTGATGGTACCATCTTCAATATTGTGGGTTTTCCTGCTTCACAGAATAAGGTCAGCAGAGACCCTTCTTCCTATGTCAAGCTATCTGTAGGCAGGAAGACATACACGAGTAAGGTAAGAGCTTGGTGTGTAGGCCTGGGGTAAGGAACTGGGCAAAAGGGAAGGAAATGAACTTATACTGAACATTTAGTAGGCACTTTATTTAGGCCTCCCAGTAACTTCACAAAATAGTTTTGTACTTCAAGCTCTGATGATCAGAGATACTAATTGACTTGCCCAAGGGCAGTATTACAAAGCAACAGAGTTAGGGTTCAAGCTTGGGCATGGTTCTAGAGCCCATGTCCTTTCTACCACACCATGAAGCCCTCAGTCCAGCACTAGGCATCCTGTCGGCCCCACTCCCTCAAAGTGAGCTCTCACCATAGTACAATTTTAAGCCCTCAGTAAAACTTCTGGCAAGGCCCTCCTTGGCTTTGAGTATGGCTGCCCTACCCTGTGTCCCCTGGCTGGAGTAGGTGGGTCTGATCCCAGGGCAGGTAAAGTTCCCATTGGTACATGGTGGGCAGACTGACAGCAGAGCATGCCAGCATCCAGCTCTGCCCAACTTGACCTTCAATGACCTCCCCTCTTCTGTTCCCAGACGTGTCCCCACAGCAAGGACCCTGTGTGGAGCCAGGTGTTCTCCTTTTTTGTGCACAACGTGGCAGCTGAGCAGCTCTGTCTGAAGGTTTGAACCTGGGCTCTTGGGAGAAGAGATTTCTAAGCTGGGAGGGCTCCCAAGCCTTGAGCAAGTTCCAGCAGTATTCACTCAGCCTCTAGTATATGAGAGAGGACACTGAGGCCCCACAGAGCCTCATCTCCTTGAGGATGGTGCCCAAGGTCACTGTGTAGGAGGCTTTGGGAAGACAAAGCCCTGTAAGTACCTTGGATCTCCCTGAAAAGGATCTCTGCAGTTGTTACACAGTACTCGGAATGGTCTTTGTTGGTGTCTATGGAGGACACTAATAATGGTGTACTTGTTTAAATTTTTTTCATTTAACATTCATTAAAAAATCTGTTGGAAGAAATTAGCTCCTTTTATACATAAGCAAATAGATGCTAAATCATTGATTTGCCCACGATCTCATGACCAACAAGTGGTGGAGCTGGGATCTTTTGGGATCCCGAGTCCTGCCTGTATGCCTCCTCCCGAAGCAGCAGAACTTGCTGGTCCCTAAAGCCCCTGTGGCCCTTGGCATTTGCCATTCTGGCCTCAGAAGAACCATAATCACCTCTACCCTGAGTCATTTTCTTCCCCTGACTGCAGGCAGAGACCAGATCTGGCCTAGCCTCATACCTGTTTCCAGAAAAGGACCACATGCCAAATATGGACTGAAGTAAGCCCAGACTGGCTGGGGCCCAGAAGGTAGTGGTGGTTCAGGTAGGCTTAGCCATCCTCTCGTTTTGTGACTGGCCCACTGCCCAGGTGCTGGATGATGACCAGGAGTGTGCTCTGGGAGTGCTGGAGTTCCCCCTGTGCCAAATCCTCCCCTATGCTGACCTCACCCTGGAGCAGCGCTTTCAGCTGGACCATTCAGGCCTGGACAGCCTCATTTCCATGAGGCTGGTGCTGCGGGTAAATCTCTCTCGTCCCCTGGGGGGAAGGGGGAGTGCAGCTCTGGCTATGGAGCAAGGTGAACTGTTCCAGCACTAAGCTCCAAACCATTTTCATCAGTTTTGGAATACTGTCAGTCATCTCTTCACATATTGCCTTCCCCCATTTTTTAATCCCTTAGTTTAATCCTTCTATACTGGATCTTCTCATCTGTTTTCCATGTCTCTTGACCTCACCTTGTTTCCCATTTATTTTCTCAGCACTTTTTCAGAGATCCCACCTTCATGGACCTCACTGCAACTCTCAGAGTAGCTTAACTTTTATTTTTTCAGCTTTCTCTTTTCAAAAAGAATTATGCTTGCTTTCTTATGGATATGGCTGTGCATTTAAAAAGATGTTCATTTTATTTTGGCATAAAAGCTCTTTTAGAATACTTGGATTACCATATTTCTGTAAATGAAATTTCCCAGGAAGGGTCTTGGTGATTGATGACTGAGAGGAAAAGGGAAAGAAAAAACACAATGGCTGGGGTTGTAGAAGTGGTGGGCCCAGTCCATAAACTACCTTGTTATCTGCTTCTAGTTCCTGCGAGTGGAGGAACGAGAGCTGGGGAGCCCGTACACAGGACCTGAAGCCTTAAAGAAAGGTCCTCTGTTCGTCAAGAAGGTGGTTACCAACCATGGTCCCAAAGCCCCACTCCAGGGAGAAGGCCCTGCAGACTTGCTGTGTCCTCCAGACCCTGCTTCTTACACCATGGATGCCTCCAAGAGCACACTAACCACTTCCAGTGCTTCCACCAACCCTGTACCCCAAGAGACAATCTTAGAGCCCAAAGGCAAAGACAGTGCCAATGGGTTCTCTGAGCCCATGGGGAAGAAGAAGAGTTCAACCACCATCTTCCTGACTGTCCCAGGCCCCCATTCTCCAGGACCCATCAAGTCACCCAGACCCATGAAACGCCTTGCTTCCCCATTTGTATGGCCGCCCAAGGGTCTGGGTCCCAGCATCTCCTCGCTCAACTCCCTGGCCTCTTCCTGCTTTGATCTGACAGATACCACCTTCAACACTGAGTATGCATCTCTCTGCTTAATCTTTTCTAATATCACCTGCATGAAAAATATTTCGTGGATGTAAAAGTAGATATAAACTTAAATACCTATGCAAGTTCTGGTTTTCCACAGAATACTGTATCTTCACAAGAGGCAGCAAGGTGTGGTAGAAGAAACACAGAACAAGGGAGAAAACTAGTCTGGTTATGGCTCAAGCTACATACTGACTATACAGTAGATGCTGGGCTTCAGTTAATGTCCCTTCTAGCAGAAACATTTCCTGAGTTCTAAAGCACTGCAGTGTAATGATATGAAAAGCTTAAGATATGGAATTATGTAATAAATAGCCACCATTTATTAAGTGTTTACTATGGACCGAAGATTTTACTTGATTTGTCTTCACCATAACCCTGAGAACTTAGTAGCATAAAAGTCAAATTAACCCAAAGCCCTACAAGGAATTGTGATACAAAGGCAGATCCACTCCAGTGTTCATGTTGTTCTTACTGAAAAGTAGGATAACTATACCTGATGCTGGATGGAACCAACTTCCAACTGAAAAGAACTTAGAATTATCTTGAGGGGAAAGGAGAGAGTTAACACTTGTTACAACAAGAGAAATGACAAGCTCTTTCTTTACAGAGTTGGCAATTGCAGACAGCAGGGCCTTGGTGAGATCCAGCTCACGGTGCGCTATGTGTGTCTGTGGCGATGCCTCAGGGTGCTGGTCAATGGCTGCAGGTAAAGGGATTCTGGGACAGGAAGGTGCTTTGGAAGCATCAGGGGACCATAAATCAAAGTTGGGGCATTTGGAGCAATAGCAAGGGCATGTAGTAGACTCAAAGTAGTAACACACTGGGAAGAAATGAAACTTGAAGGCCTGTATGCCATGAGCAGCAAAGGGCACTCTTGGGTGGTTATTCATTGATGGTGCTGATGGGCTCAGGAGCCAAAGGCTGTGTTTAGACGCAATCACTGTAAAACTATCTTGGGTTGGCTGACAGCCAATAGATTTTCCCAACCAAAAATTCCTAACTTAGATGAAAAGTACTTACTCTACCTCAAACCACAAAAATGCATGTTTTCAAAATTATGCACCTGATATTTTGTCCTCTAAATTCTGGAGATTTTCATGTTTTGGTCAGGTTGACCACAAAAGATGTTCTCAAGCCCATCTAAAGGCAAATGGTTAGTTTAGCTTTCTCCCAAATGACTATTTTCAGTGTTTGAAATCCAAGGGCCTTTTTTCCCCCCCTACAAATCAGAAATTTGACACCGTGTACCAGCAGTGGAGCTGATCCCTATGTCCGTGTCTACTTGTTGCCAGAAAGGAGGTGGGCAGGTCGTAAGAAGACCTCAGTGAAGCACAAGACGCTGGAGCCCCTGTTTGATGAAACGTAAGTGGCTGTGGGTCTGCCTAGAATGCCTAATCCCTTCAAGTATCTGCTGAGCACTGGGTCTGTGCCTGGCAAACTGCCAGATGCTGGAGGCGGCCAGGGCTGTACAGGACTTCATGAAGCCTCTGTATACTTTTTGGTGGGAGAAAAGGAGTACCAGGACAGATTATCAAAAAGGCTACCCACATTTAACTGGCCACCAAGACTAAAGTGTTCCTGATTACGGAATGTTCTATACTCATTCCCTTTAAATATTTTGGCAGTAAGAGGATTTGAATTTGATTAAAATTTTTCTGGAGGATCTGTTTTAATGGAACCTAAGGACATAAAATTTCTTCCAAGGCTCGAAGCTTTTGGCCCTCCTGCAACATAATGGAGATGGCAGGTGAAACAAATCCTTTCTCCTCCGCAGAGGCTTACCCACCCCTGTCCTTAGAAAGAAAACTGCCTGGCAGATTCGAATCACATAGCAACTTTTATTTCAAATATTTTCAGTCTTGATAATCCTCAAGGTGCTGAAGCCAGGATTTCATCATTACTTCCTTCTGTTTCAGAATCCTAAGAAAATCTATTTTAGCCAGCTTAGAAAGATGGTACACCTCTTAATTTTGGTTCTTATTCTGGTCAATACTTATTTTAAAAGGGTTGTGACTGATTCCTTTTTTGACTATGTCTAAGAACTACTGTGATTGAGTTTGTCAATATCAAGAAAGGCTGTCGGCAAAAAAAAAAAAAAAAAAAAAGGCTATTGGGAGAGAATTTATCATTCAGCTTTTACTGAATGCTGGCACCATCATGTCTAGAGCCACACAAGAGACTTTGCTCCCAGAGAGCTCTGACACATAAAAAGATGTCAAAATGCTATGTAGGAACATAAGGGATAGCTTTAACATTTGACTTTAAAGACAATCTGTTAGTTTCTTCTTTCAAAATTAGAACAGCATGATAAGCCTGGATTATCTGGAAGGCACTCTTGGCCACACCCACCTTAAAAATAAACCTAGATGTAAGGGGTCCCTTATGAATACCTGACAGATTCCTCTGCCTTACTCCACAGGAGGCAGCTGCTATTTTTCAGGAGGCACTTCTCAGAAAAGCCTCTTTACACTTCCAGGGTTCGTCAGCAACACAGGGCAGCAATTAGCCATACTCAATGCATTGAGGTACTCAATGAATTAACTATGAGCCAGTACTATTCCAGTTGCTCTTAATCTGTGGCTCCTGTTTTAGTGGGGAAGTAGATGAAACACTTCAAATTTTCAACCCAAATGACTGAAATATGTAAATCTCATTTCCTGAATTTTTTGCTCCTTAAAGATTTGAATTTTTTGTTCCTATGGAAGAAGTAAAGAAGAGGTCACTAGATGTTGCAGTCAAAAATAGTAGGCCACTTGGCTCACACAGAAGGAAGGAGTTAGGAAAAGTAAGTATTCAAGACTATTGGTATCTGGTGGTGGAACACATCCTTGCAGAAATTCTGACAAAATCCTTACAGCTTACAATAGAACTGACTTCAAAATCCTCATTTGGAATTTTTTTGTTTTTCATATTCTTTAATACAGAAATATAAATATGATAATCTATTTTCATTCAAGAATCCAAATTCAACATTCTACAAGCATTTGAACACCTGCCATGGTCTTAACTCCCAGGAATATGCTCAGGAGAGACCCACCCAAAATGTATTTGTGTAGTACTTTGTACCTGTTGTATTTTAATAAACACCTTATACTCATCTCTTTAAAGCACTCATTTCTATGAGGTAGATGGTATTATTCCTATTTTCACAGATAAAGTAAGTTTTCTTTTTATAATATTCATTTAAAAACTCAAAAAGGAAAGAAAAAACCTGAAGTAGAACTCTGAACAACAACTTGCCTTTTTTCAGGACACTGAGGTCAGTGTCTGCATTCTCCCTCTGGAGAGGCTCCAATGTTGGGAGCCAAAAGAAAAAGCCCTGCTGAAAATCTGAAACCTAAGGAGATCCTTTATGATCAACTCAGTTTATCCCAAAGTTTCTGTTTAATGCAGTGTTTTATATGGGAATTATCTGTGATCCTTTAGGTACTGATTGATTTATCAAAAGAAGATTTGATTAAAGGCTTTTCACAATGGTAAGACTACTTTTTTATTTTATCACTGTTAACCTGCTATTCAAGGTAGCCCATATTTTTCTCCAAAGTTATTCCTCTTTCAGTAATATTTAAGAAAGGAAACAGATTAACACCTTATGGCAGTGATGGCAAATCTTTTAGACATAAGTGCCCAAAGTGCAATACAAAACCAACTTATTTACTGCAAAGTACCAACACTGAAATAACCTGAATACTGAAGTTTTAGTTTAGAAAAACAATTCATGCAATACGCATGTCACAGGTTCACCACCACTGCCTTATGGTATTACTACCTGCAGATCTTACCCATGTGACTTCTGTAAATTCTAGGCTTAACTTTGCCTGGCCAACTCAAGAGATGGGTCTGCAGGCTCCAGAGGCCCAGACATCTTATCGTGTTATAGCTACAAAACACTGACCTTCTAACACAAGTGCAAACCCCACTGTCTTACAGGTATGAGCTGACTCCAGACGGACAGCAGAGAAGCTGATGAGTACTATTCTCGCCAATATGTTACATTGTGTACATATGTATATTGTTATTTAAATAAGTCACGAATATATATATATATAAATATATTGTATAAATAACTGTATGACTAGTATTAGGAAGAGGCAGAGTTATATAAAGGCAAGAACTACTTCATCTTGGTTAAGTTTGGTCAAATGGGGTATTTATATCTAAAAAGTCATCAAAGGCCGGGGATTTAGCTCAGTGGTTCCACTGCCTGCCCTGCAAGTGCAAGCCTGAGTTCAATTCCCGGTACCAAAACAAAAGTCATCAAAAACCTCAGTGGTGGTTTTTTACTTTTGGTAGATAATTATACACATTTGATTTAGGACCTGCCTGAATGTATGCACCAGAAAGTGTCCCGCCCTTGACATAAGGGCCAAGAGAGATTTGTTCCTGGAGCAGCTAACAATTATTCCTGGGCAATTACTGATGAAGGGGAGGGCACTGACCCAACCCCAAACTCCCAACAGGTAATACTGCCAAAGCTGTTCTGGCTGCCACCTGTGACATTTCTATGGTTGGAGATTCATTTCTGCATTTGATTTGGAGCTAAAATGCACTTTCCTAATGGCAACCATGTTCTAACATACTTAAATACTCTGGAAATAATTCCACATGCTGGGGGCTATCCCCTACCATAGGAAAATGCAAGTCAAGTTCCAAACCCAGGTCTGATCTGCATTTACAGCAGAGCTTTGGAGAATGCAGAAGAGTATCATTATAAGCTTGAGAATTCTATCCCACTTTTCCAGAAAATAGCTGCTTCACTTAAGGTTAAAAGCAAAATATGTAAAGTGAATATGAAAAGTGCCTCTTGTGCATTTCAAAATTGAAAAGACCAAATGGACTTGCTACCCCCTCTGTTCTTATAACTAGTCTAAAGGTCATGTCTTATAAGTTTTTTGTCTGCACTACTGCCAACATTCTAAACAGTTTTATCATGCTACTCTCACTTAATTTGCTTAAGATAATCTGGTTTCTGCTGCTTTATTCATCATCTTCATTAAGCCAGTCCACAATGAAATGGCCTATTCCCACCTCCTATGTAGCATTTTCCATTTTAACGATTCTGTCTTATAACAGTAAATTTTAAAAAATATTCACTAGGTATCAACTAAGGTCACATGCTGTTATGTATGTCTGGTACTTAACGTTTCAATTTACATGTCAATTGAACTATATACTACCTGAACTGTTTTTCACCCTTGCAACCCAATCCTGTGCTAAGTATATGGAAGATGCATAATAAAATGTTTCTTCTCAGATTTCTACTTTGAACAACAAATTCTCATAATAAAATGTTTCTTCTCAGATTTCTACTTTGAACAACAAATTCTCATAATAAACTATGGCAAATTATGCTTATCCCATCTACTTCATGCCAACATTATAATTGCTCTCTAAATAGAAAATTACCTTGAAAATGGTAAAGTACCAGAGAAATATAAGAGAATTTATCATATATTCCATCCTAAATATTTGCAACCCTAAAGTAACTATTGCTCAAGGTGGCAGACAACAGATAGTTCCTAGTTCTTTTGACCAAAAGAAGAAAACCAGAATAGTTTGCAGAAGTCAGATGAGGAGTTAAAGTGTTGAAGGGAACGAGAATTTTAGCATACACCAGACAGGAGGCAAGGACCCTCAAAAGTTTTGTTTTGATAGAAAACACCTTGCCTGACAATGAGGTCAAGAACAGGTTGGCAAGAAGGGGTGGAAACAATCAGTTAAACTGCCCTAGAGGAGCACAGAGTCTGAAGTTACCTACCATCAACCTGAAGCCGAAACCCCCAAAACTAGGAAAACAGGTTTAGAACCTGGAATCCTATGAAAACCTGAGTTAACCACAACTCTGGCCCTTAGGGTTGCTACTTGTATCCAGTGCACAGAGGAGACCACTCACTGTAGCAGACATCTGTCATGAATGGGAACTTGAAGATAAAAGATACTGGAACATCAAACCAAAAAATGAACTATTAAGGCAGAAATGGCATAAGAGGTACAAAGATACCTGTAAAATACACTGGCAAACATGTCTTGATCATTCAAAAAATATAAACAAGCATGTTAATTACTGTAACAAATACCTGAGATATTCACCTCATAACTAAAAGTTCATTTTGGCTCACAGTTTTGGAGGTTTCAGTCAATGATGACCTATGGCAAGAGATATTAGGAAAATGTCAACTATTAATTTCTATGTACTTAGAAAATTAGGCTCAAAATTTTAAAATTTTGTATTTTATCTCCCAGAAACTGACTAATCAAGCACAAAAGCTGGTATATAGACTTAACACAGTAGCACAACATATATTGAGAATAGACTTAAGAACAAATGGAACATGTATAAAAATTCCTCTAAAGCCACAAAGGCTCAACAAATTCTAGAGACTCAATACCAAAAAGACTATACAGTATTCTCTAATCATAAGGAAATAAAATTAGAAAAACAAAAAACAAAAGACCGAGTTGGGCAATGTCTTAAGTTACTTTCCTTGTTGCTGAGACAAAATACTGGACACCCAAAATTAAAAGAGGAAAGGTTTATTCAGCTCACAGTTTGTAGAAGTTTCAGTCCTTCATTGGCTGGCTCCAAGACAAGGTGGCATGGCAGAAGAGAAATAGGCCATGCCCAGGCAGGCAGAAGGCAGCAAGTCTATCTTCCATCTTCCCCTTTATATTCTATCCAGGATACAAGCCTATTGGTTGGTATAACCCACACCCAGAACTGTGCTAAACCAATCAGTGGACTGATTTAGTCATCATATACCCTACATCCATAGTCACACATTCTTAGTCCACATTCACACACCCTAGATCCAGCCACCTCTGAAAAGCCCCACCTATGAGCACATGAAGCTCTGGTGGATATCTACATGTAAGTCATAACAGGCATATAGGTTAGTGGTAGACCATATGCTCAACATGATCAAAGTTCTAGGTTCAATCTCTGGCACCAAAATAAATTTTAAAATGTTAAGCTGCAGAAACAATCCAAGAAACGACATATTTTTAGACTTCATAATTCAAGAGGGGTGTGGTGGTGCATGCCTATAACCCCAGCACTCAGGAGGCTCACTCAGGAGGACTGAGAGTTCTAGGCCAGGCTGGCCTACATGGTGATATCCTGTCTCAAACCACTGCCCCGCTCCACCCCCAACATACTTCTAAACTTCTATTCCTAGCCAGAATGGAGTATCAGACGCCAAATTTGCCTCTCTGCTTATAACAACCAAATAATGTACAAATAAAAACTAAAAAAAAAACCCAAACCAGACAAAATATATGAAACAGTCTAAGACATAGGATATCAGGTATAGGTTCATATGAATATAAGTGTTCATAGATTGCAATTTTATTTGTAGTAAAAATTGGAAAACCCAAATTTCCATCAATGGGTGAAGGAATAAATTATGGCATATTTATACAACAGAATGCTACACAGTAATAAAAACTGAACTAATACATGCAACAACATGTAAAAAAATCTCAAAATAATTATTCTGAAAAAATGCCCAGCCAAAACAAAAAGAACATATGATTTCATTTATATTCCTATAAAGTACAAAATAATATATAGTGATGGAAAGCAGACAAAATGTTGCCTAGGGATGGGAGAGAATAAGAAAGGCATTAAAACTTTTTTGGAATGATGGGCATATCTTTTAATGTGACTGTGGTGGTTTCATATATATATATAAAAATATATATATATATGTCTGAACTTATTAGATTGTGTATTTTAAGTGTGTAAGCTTATATGCCAATTATACCTCAATAAAATTGTTAAATTGAATGTTTTCATTTAAATATTGCTAAATAATAATTGTAGTACTTTTATTTATAATTTTTTAAAAATTGGATAAGAGCAGATCTGATAGGGATGGCCTAAAGCTCTTGCTATTAGTGTCAATGTACTTCTCAGTGGTTCTTCAAGAACCTCCAAAACAATCACAGGCCTCAGGGGAAGTGTTTGAAAACTTCTATATTAAACTAAGAGTTAACCATAGGCTCATAAACTAGTAACACAATTTAGATGAAAATAATATTTTGAGTATATTTTTTCTAATATTCAAACTCATAGCAATTTTCTGGGATAATCTGATCAATTCAGAATATTTAAATATTCAAATACTATACTTTTTCTACTAAATCCTCGACACATGTTTTTTTTTTTTCCGTTTTGGTACCGGGGATCAAACTTGGGACCTTGTGCTTGCAAGGCAGGCACTGGAACCACTGAGCTAAATCCCTGACCCCTTGACACATGTTCTTTACAAATGGTGGGCTAGTGTTTAGAAACGTAACTGCAGATTAACAAAACAATTTTAAATTTAGAAGGAATCCAAGACATTATCTTATATCTCCCTAAGCCTAAGGTCACACCACCAAGGATGTGGACATTTATTCTTCAGTGCACCTTGCCTCCTGGAAATGCTATACAATATTCTATGTGCTACCTGCCAAGAATGACTGAGAAATTTTCCTAGGCCTGCTACTTATAAAAAGGATGGGGGTAGCTTAAAGTAGTTTGTACTCATGGATGTGATGTAGACACTAGTCCCTTAAGAAAATCAGACTGGGAGAAGCCTGTGGGGAACAGAGCTTGCAGTTGCAGGCAGGTCCTAGCCAGGGCCCCGCCCTGACCCCTGCAGCTGGAACCCACAGGCCCAGCCAAAGGCCTGCCTGGAAAAGAGCTGAAGAGACACACAAGCAACAGCCAGAGGCCCACCCAGATTCCATCGGTAAGTGTGCCCAGATCCCAGCCAAGAATCCTGTGGGGACCAGAGCAGTGCAGTAGTGGGCAGGTCCCAGCTAGGGCCCCATCCTGACCCCTGAAGCTGGAACCCACAGGCCCAGCCAAAGGCCCACCTGGAAAAGAGCTGCACAGGAGTACAAGCAATAGCCAGAGGCCTGCCCAGATACCACTGGTAAGTGTGTGCAGACCCCAGCCAGAAGCCCACTCAGACACCAGCAACTGGGGTGCATAGCCCCCAGCCAAAGGCCTACCCAGACAACAGCTACATAGGGGGTCAGGATCCAGCCAGAGGCATGCCCAGATACCATCCCAAGTGTGCACAGACCCCAGCCAGAACCCCGCCTGGACAACAGGGTAGTGCAGGGATCCAGAAGGCCACCATTCGGAACCCAGGAATTGGCACAGGGATGAGCAGCAGAGAAAAGGACTCTTGGTGGCTTACTGAAAATTGAAGACCACTGAGTGAGCAAAAAGTTGCCTCAACAAAGGCACAGCAGGTTGCATCTGTTGAAATGAGAAGACACGTAAACAAGTCTCAAAACCAGACTTCTAGATTACCTAAGGCAGCCCCAAAGGGCAAGGAGATGGAACAATCTGATACTCAACCGCCTGGACTCCCTGAACTGGCAACAAAAGAGGATCTGGAAATAATGAAATAAAAAATAATTTCTCAAATAACAACAGAGGTTGTGTCCCTAGTACAAGACATGATTAATAAATCTAGAAGAGACATAAATTTAAAAAAATAGAGGAGCTGAGGAACATGATGGAATCCCAGCATAGGAAACAAATGGAATCCATAAAACAGATGCAAACAGATTCCCAAGAAATTAAAAATGCCACTGAAAGTTTATGAAGCAGAGTGAGCCAATGTGAGGACAGAATTTCAGATATAGAAGACAGGATTGCAATTAGTGACCAGGAAAAGAAAAATTTCTTAAAAATAGTAAGGGACCACAAGAAATCTAGCAGCTGCTAGATGATGCAAAGAAGAATAACCTAAGACTGATTGGAGTCAACGAAGAAACAGGAGAGTGCAAAGGACATTAAAAAACTGTTCACAGAAGTAACAACAGAAAATTTCCCAAGCAAGGGAAAAGATCTTGATACACAGATAAGTGAGGCATATAGGACTCCAACTAGCCATGATCAAAATCTACACCTAGGCATATATAATAGTCAAGATTCCAGGAACCCAACAGAAGAACAAAATTCTACAAGCAGAGAAAAGAAACAAATCACATTCAAAGGAAAGCCAATCAGAATCACAGCCGACTTCTCAACACAAACCCTCAAGGCAAGAAGAGCCTGAAGTGAAGTATTTCAAGCCCTAAAGGAAAACCTCCAACCCAGATTGATGTACTCTGCAAAACTTTTGTTCAGAATTGATGGAGAAATATGATACTTTCATGACAAAGAGCACCTGAGGAACTTCATGAATACCAAACCAGTACTCCAAAAAATTTTAAACATTATTCCTAGGAAAAGACAATGAGGATCACAACCCC